CTAATCCACTCCTCTGTATTTCCAACCCCTGTCATAGCTCTATTCCCATCAGATGTTGGAAGGAACCTTATTCCTCCACGTTGCATGGGGCCAGCAAGGAGAGACCTGAACTAGAACCAGAACTGGGATAAATTGGAGCAGATTTTCATGGGAATGGCCAAAGACCAATCCCAGCCAAAAAATGTTTCCTCCCTGACAAATATCAAGTCCCTGCTCAAAAATAGATGGGGACTAGAAATTTTGAAAGACTAAACAAACAAGGCTGCCAGCATTTTTATTTTTTTTAAACAGGCATTTTTTTTTCCCCCAACCCTCTTCTCACAAATGACTGGATGTCTCACAGCACAATAAAATAAAATCAGGCTCAAGCAAGCAGACATTCAAGTATGGAAAATTTAAGGTCAAACCATTGAAAGTTGACAAAGTTAAATTTGACTAAAAATCAGATTTAATAACAGGAAGCGCCAGGGAAGTTTAATAAGAAGAACTGTACTAGCTCAGCCTAAAACACGGACTTCATCTCAGGGCAGTTCACAAATACTTAAACCTCACAAAGTACTATTAACTATCATTACATCATTGTATATCAGCAGGATATCACTCTCAGACCAGCATAACATCAAACTTTGGTTTCCTTACCTGTATAATTAAAAATATTCTCAATTATTAAAGAAAAGAAAATGGGGGGAAAGCATTTATCCCCACTAGCTGTGCTTCACTCCAACTGGACATGAAACTAAACTTATCAGTTTGGTTATGGCCCATGTCCCTGACACTGCAGTATCAATCACTACATCATTGGTGTACACTGAAAATACACTACATTGTATTTTCTAACTTTGGCCCATAAACGTTTTCCACGGCAATCTGAAGTTCCACATACCACTGGAAACACGGGCCAGGATATCTCATTTTACAAACCTGTTCAGGATCAATACATTTATGCTTCAATTCTTTTTTAAATGCAACTTTTCAAAATGCGTGTTTTCTGGAACGATTATTTAGATTGTCTAATTGTCACCCATCTCTCCTATCATTGCAGCTCTTATAATCATTTTAAATTGCCACAGAATGAAAATAAGTTATCCAAGGGTATTTCTCCACTGCAGTCACAGAAACCTCATCAGACCAGAACAGGCTTTAAACCAACTCCCTCGGTTACTGTACCAGTCTAGTATCAGCAACGTTTGACTCAGCGCAAAATATTTTCAACCTGCTTCCCTGGCAGGTTTTGCAGTCCTACTGAGCTCCTTGCTGCCACAATCAGATTGTTACCAGTACTGAGCTAGGAGGTTTAAAGCGATTTCTGAAATGTTGGTGCTACGCTGGAGTGTAGACAATCCCCAATATAGTGGCAACCATCAATCTTCCTGGATAAGGGCCACCTGGACCTTGGATGCACATGCCTAGGCAGGAATTTTTGGAAAAGCAGATCTTCCATCAGGCCACTGAGACAGAATCCAAAGATTAAACTGAGCCCAGATGTTTGGTGCCTCCATGGCCGTAGTTGCATAGGTGCCTAGGAATTGAAGCCAGGTCTCCTGCAGGGCAGACAAGGATGCTACCACTGAACCACAGGGGACTCCTCCCCAACACAGCAGGGCTACTCTATCTCTGTACTGCAGATAAGGTTGTCTGGCCCTCAATCTCTAGAAATTGCTGGATCAGTCTTTGCAGTTAGATACGAATTATGCTACATACAAACAGCCAAGACTTCAGCATCTATTATGCAGCAAATTGTGGTTTTCACCATTACAGAAGCATACACTGCATTAGCAAAGTATATGCATCTAATACTATCCAATCCAAGATCCCCTATGGTAACATAGCAGAGAACATCAAAAAAAGTTACACAAACCTGTAAATTCCCTATTATAACCTCCAGCCTGCCAATTTAAATCCACCTGCTTAGAGGCTCACTGAGGTCAGTAAAACTAACCAGGCAGATGCCAGTCAAACCCGGGCATATGGGCCTCCCCTCTGCACAGCAAGAAAATAATTAAGTACCACAAAGCCTTGGTACTAAAGGACTTGAGAATTTACTTCCCCTTACCTTTTAATCCCTATTTGTTGGCAGCATCCTTTGAGTATATGCATTAGTGGATAATAACAGATTACCATCTATACCCAGAAGAGATTCGTTTGGGTTTTTTCCCCAAATCAGGACTGAAAATCACCTATAAATTGATCAGTTATCTAAAAGGAAAAAAACCAATGGTCTTATGCACAACAATCCTAGATGGAATGAAAGTTTTGTTGTTTTTTTGGAGATGGGGGGGAGGCAGGGGAAAGGGTTACCAAAGCAAGAGCTTCTGAGTCAAGTTTCAACACATTATTTCATTTAGGCGTGTTTGGGTTTTTTTTAATTCTGGGGGGCAAGTTCTACAACTCTTGATCACATGCAACAGCCCTCACTTGGTAATATTCCCATTGACTCCAGTAACACTATTCATGTATGAGGTAATGGATCCGGTTCCCAAGCTTGAGTCTGAGAACAAGCCACTGGAAAGAAAAGCACGTCAGCATCATTAACATTAGCAATCATCAAGGATGCAGGCCTAATTAGCAATACTTGTCTACATTTCAGTATACCAGGAGTGTTTACAGCAAGAGATTTTCACTTTGCTTCTTTTCAGCCAAAACCATAACTAGATTGACGAAGGCTCATTATATCAGCCCTGGACATTAGCAATCAGCATTAATAAGCTCTGCCATGCCTTGCAGGTACTCACAGAAGCCCTCAATCTTGTCAGCCGTCTTGCTCCACGCTACCTGTCTGGTTTCCATTATGACTTGAATGGTCCTTCTTTCTGGGTTAGACTTCTTGAGACTGTACACGGTCATAACTGTTCCCAGCTCCAGGGTCCTCTTGATCTGGCTCTTCTCATACTCTGGGAGCTCTCCATAGTCTATGCTTTTTCTGGGCATTTTTAAATCAAAGCTTTAATCAAACCAATATGTTCCCGATGTGCTGGGGGGAAAAAAAAAAAGGGATAGAAAGGGGAAAAGTTAACATTTCAAACAACTTTATTTGTATTCAATTAATGAAAAAACAACAGCCCCAGGGGATCATTGTGCATCGCTGTGCATCAGATATAAGCACAAGTCATATCACAGCTATCTGGTTAACCTGGACAGTCTGATTCAGGCTGCAATGTCTTGGGGAAAAAAGTGGTTTGCTGGAGGAATCAGTGCTCCTTTCATTAGTGGGGCACGATTTGGAAGTCCACACAGAACAACAAAGTGGGAGGAGCAGGCTTGGTTGGGAATGAAATATGACTCTGACTCCCCAACTTGATCAGCACTGTGCTCCCTCTCTCCTACTGCCATACAGTGTTCCCCAGTGGCTTACAGCAAACCCTTTTGGCCCAAATGTGCTCCCCTCTCCTCCCAATGCAGGCAGGAAAAATGGGAACGCAAACATGGAAAGAAAAGGGAAATACACAAAATCCCTGACTTGTCCATGCACACTTGCACAAACACAGGCCTCCATCTGTAAAACCCTGTGTGCAATAGCAGGCAGGAGGCTCAAAATTATAGACAACTAGTCTCTGCAAAAATAAAGGTGACTTGGAAGACTAACTGAATATAAGCAGGGCTGTGACATACTATACTTGTGCGCAAGGAAACAGCACCAGAAACTAGAGGAGATGCAAGAGAGGACTGGGCCTGACTCATACTAAAGAAAACTGCTTAGAATAAAAGGTCAAGAGTTTGTGAGGGGCTGTTCAGGTCTAACTCGAAGGTCAGACCTACAGTTCTGCTGGTGCAGCCATCCTGGTTAGTGGTGTTGGGTTTCCTGCAACCTTTCTGTGCCTACAAAAGACACAGCAGTGACAATGCACCTATATAGCACAGAACTGCCCTTTCTCACTGGCTTCTTTCACTGATCAAGCCTACAAGCCAGACAATCAAAAATCCTTTTTTTGCCAATACAGGAGTTACATTTACATGAGGTTCATCTTCTATCACTCTCTGCAAGCCTTAGTACAGGCATGCCTAAAACGTAGGTCCGAGCTGCACAGCGATCAGTGGAGCCCATGTTGGCTGTCAAGAGGCTTTTCCATACAAGGCACATGCAGAGTCCTTCCATACCACATCTTGAACAGCTACAGAGACATCTCGTCAACACCAGGATGTAAGAAAAGCTCCAGATCCTTCATATAACAACTCTGTTTTAGAGGGAGACCTAGATGTTTCGCTAGAGGATCCAACATGGTCTCAACCTGATGAATTCATTATCCAGTGGACAAGGAAAGGAGCTTGTTGTGGACACTGTGCGTGGCCTCGCCTTACACAGACAACAAGTATCTTCCCAACGAGATCCAGTTCTCTCCAAAAAGCAGAACTGCTTTTCTAAATGTATCAGCATGATTTTATAAGGAGTGGTATCCCACTGAAACTGCACATAGCTACATTTTTAGAGAGACACCAAAAACGGATCAGCTCTTTTCCTTCAGATTGCTGCTCAACTTCTCTTCCTACAACCTGACTCTCACTGTAGCACGCAAGCATATTTGAGATCCCACGTGAGTTTCTAGGAGTTGGACGTGCTAACTGAAAGATGAGAACTTAAAACCCAGGATATTGCTATTATTTCTACTCCTGCAAGAAATCTCCAAGCTCTTTTTATAACCTGGGTACCAGAGCACAGCCTCTTAGATCTGGAAGAGCAGGTATCTGCAACTGATTCAAATTTATCCACAAATTTTCCACTCCTAAGCTACGAGTCCAGACTTTTCCCAATGCATAGGCTGCCTCCAAATTACCATGACAAACGCTTCAATTATTTCTAAGTAGGATAAGTCTTGTCCCTGATCTTGCCCGTAAAGAAGTTCTGAACTGTCACTTGCAGGGATCTCTGATCTCTATGTAAGAGGTCCAGGAAAGACCAGACATGACAGCTAGTATTGCAGCTGCTCTCCCGTACAGCAAGCAGAGAGAGCAGCGACTGAGGCCTGATAGTGATGCAAGAAAAAATGCCATCATGGGCCAGAATCTCGACTGGTGTCAATAGCCAGAGCTTCATTTAAGTCAGTGGAGCGAGGGCAGATGACACTAGCCAGGCTTTGGTAATCGCCAGGCCCTGAAAGGAGTATGAAAGTCCACAAGAGAAAACATGAGCACATATCAATACTGCAATAAAAATCAGCCTTTGCACTGTGAAGACTTCACAGACACGTGGTAGCTGCATCTGCACACAGTCCGCTCTCCTCTCACATCTGCGACAGGGAACACATTTCAATTTAAGGCAGCCCTCGACTGGAGAAGCCAGCGAGGGCACAGGAAGCGAAACGCTTCTAGAAACATGAACACGGTGGGTTTTTTTGCATCTCCCAGATATTCTTGCAGCAGCAGACCGACGCCACCCCAGGGTCACCCCTCAGCCTCGTGCACAGGAAGGACACTCTGGTGCCAATCCTGTCATCCAGGAGCGGAGGAGGAAGTGTGTGTAAACGATACGAAGTAGCAGTGACTGCTGCAACATCTTTCCCAACCACCCTCCCAGGCCAGAGCCAGAGAGCAGAAAGCACTAAACGCGCTCGAGCACTAGCCATGGTCTCCTCCGCTTCTCCTTCCTCTCTCCTTAGTCCAGCACTTTTCACTGCGAACACTTTCAGTTTCCACGTTGATAATCAATTTGATCACGCTGCTTCTCACTTCCCTTTTGTAACCTCTTCCTAATTCCCCCATCACCGTGTCCGGACCTGCTCCGTGCTGATCATTCTTCAGGCCACTTCTTTGTTATCTCTCGTACTTACCAGCACTGGCTAAGTTTTATAATCTCACCATTTACTCCTTTCCATGGTGCCTGGTCTGCCAACCTCCCCCCGGTTCTGTATGACTCCTTATAGTACGCCGGTAGAGAAAATAGTCTTCTTCCTGTGCTGCTGCCCTCTATTATATTGCCTGCGGTACATCATAAATTGTGCAGAGCAACAACCAGGTCGCAGTCCATTGCTTTCAAAGTATTACATAGGTGTCCAGCACCTACTTATTAATGCTGAAGGCACATAAAACGTGAGTGGAAAAATTCCTATATTAACTCTAATGGCAGATCCTCAGCGAACAAGTGGCCAATTATTTAGAGGGTCATTGTATAGGCAGAGCAGAGCTGGAAGTGCAACTTATCCTTTCGTCTCCACAGGACTAATCACATAATTCACGGCTTAAATCACTCTGCAGTCGCATCTAATGTTCTAGTCATAACCCCTTGTTACAGCGTCTTCAAGTGACAGAAGATAATAGGGAGAAAAATCAAAGGAAATCCTGGGTCTGGATTTGGTTTTCAAAAATGAACTAATACTCTTACTTTTTTTTCCCCTCCTTCATTAAGAGCTGCATTATTATGGATCAGTCTGCAATTCAGATCTGCATTGCTGACCCAGGCGCGCGCTCTCTTTCCACGGCAGTCTATAAAGTCTGACGTCCGAATAAATGCCCTTCTCGTAACAAAACGCAGACCTGAGCCTAGGAAAAGACAAGCTATCTGTAAACTAAAATCTGGCTTAATTGTCCATGCAAGGGGCTTACCAAATGCTGAGGCTTAACAGAAGTGACCTTCAACCAGAAATGGAGAAGCATTGTTTGAAGGATGGCTTGGGGTTGTCTCTTAATACAGGAAACGGTCTAGTGAGAATAGGCCCTTGTACAAAGTCTGTAGCTGGTACGTTAGGCTTCAAGCATGTCCATGCTTAACTTATTTCTGAGGTTTAAAGTACTGATAAAATAGCTATTTGCATGCAAAAAACACCCTATGTCAAAGTCTTCCCCGGCCTTGTCATCCTCAGCCCCATCATAACATAAGAATCCATGTTTATAACGGACCCTCGCCCCCAGCGTCCAAGTACCTCAAAAAATAGATCTCAATGGACGCAAGCATCAGACACCCTTCTTATGCAAGGCAGCGATCACACTTTTACAGCTGCGTACTGCAAGGAAAGGCGCGGTTCGGGACTTGTCCCCGGTCACTCAGGACGAGCTGGAAAGACCCCCGAGGCTCCCCGTTCTTGCACACACCCATGACGGCCCCGCGTGCCCACCACGCTGCACAGCGCGAGCTCCCCAGAAATAAAACTCAGCCTGCGGCACCCACGGCAGCATCTCTGCCACCTGCGCCGCAGGCACGACACCGGGCTCGGGGACAGCCGACCCCCGGCCCCAGGGTGCCCAGCATCGCCCCGCACAGCCCGACCCTCCGGCGCCCCACTCTCCCTGGCACAGACCAGGGCATCCGGCTGGCCCGGCACTTCAAACCCGCGTAGGAAGCCGGGGAACTCGGACGTGCATGAAGCCGGGAAGCGCGGACACGCATGAAGCTCGGGCACGTATGAAGCCTACCAGACGCGCGGCGCTAGACTTGCTCCGGGACGTCTCGCTGGCGGGACGCGGCCCCCGCCCTGCTCCGACCCCCGGCCGCACCTGCAGCGCACACGGGGGCCACCCACCACCCGGCCTCGCCCCTCACCTCAGCCGGCTGCGCCGCGCTGCTCCCG